TCGGGTGGGCCGCCGCCCCCTATAGCAAAAAACCCCCCCCGCCAAAAAAAAAAAAAAGTCTTAAAACACAAGACCTTTAAGAAATGCCTGAGCTTGAATCGATGAACTTGGTGCGCATGTTGAAACCCGTTTACTCTACAGGCAACAGGTGGGGACAGTCTAGAGACTTTAGAATGTAACAAGGGCCAGCTGATCCAAGCGGTTAAGGAAGCCAGATCACACATGGCCAGCTGGGTCAGAGTTGGAGTCCTGACCGCTCCCGTGTGTGTACAGGTGCTCAAAATCCTGATAGGATGGAGAAACGGAGAAGGGACTGCCTGTGGGTTTTTCCCCAGCCACCCTTTCTCTGGCCAGTGCATATGCTCTCTAGCGACCTTTTTTTTTTTTTTTTTTGGAAGAAGAAAGATTTTTGCTATAGGGTGCATGCGCTCTCCAGAGACAGAAAGACAAAGTGAGAAACCATCCGGGCGGGGAAAATGGCCTCCCCACGATCCTTTCTCCATTCTCCTCTTGGGATTTTGGACCCATGCACTGGCACCCCAGCGACATAATCATTATGCCATCAGCTGGTCTCACCCTCTGGCGATTGATTAAAAAACAAAACCTGTAAACAGCCAAGCTCACAGAACAAAAGGCCCAAACCACCACGTGTGGGCAGGATTTCCCAGAGCACATCTAGAAAGGCAGGAGGTGAGTATTCCCCATCTACTGCCCCCCTCCCCAGACCTTTCTAAACTGTCTTCTGTACGAAGCCAACTTATTTGGCAATGGTGTTTCCTCTCGTTTCCTCCATTTGTCAATATACATTGAGTGTCTGCTTTGTACCAATCGGTGCTGTTCTCACTTAAACGGGGTGGGGAGGGGAGGATGTGGGTGCAGCCAAAATAACACCTGCTGTCCAAATCCCTCCCCCACTAAGAAAGGTGCTGGGGGACCACCAGAGATGTTGTGGCATCCGTTTCATAGAGCGGTATAAAGTTCACATGCCAGGGGACTTCAAAAAGTGCGTGGAAAACGGAATTAAACTACATGCTAATTTGGATGCAAAACAATTTTGAAATCCATGCATAATTTTTCATAGTTCACGTTCTCCAGAAACTTTCTGAAGACCTCGTGTGTACCAAGCGATCATGTCGATCAGTTTCAATACCAGGTTTAAATTCTGGACACGGCTTGTGGCAGCTGGAGGGGCCCAGGGCTAGTACGTGGACTCGGAAGAAGAAGCCGTCGGGAGTGATGTACAGGCGGCCCATCTTGTACAGCCCGTCGCGGTCGGCCAGCAGGGTCACCAGCTGGATTCCGGTGCCGAGCACGTCCACGTCATGCACGATTCCGTTCAGTGCTGTTTTCGAAAACAGAGTTTGGAGGAAAGCTTTGTAGAGTTCTCTCTCCCCGGGGTGTTTGCAGCACCACGAAATGGCCAAACGACTTGGGGCCCTAGGGGCGTTCGGGGGTTCTCCGGGCTGGCCTAGGGCGCGGGCGCACGGCGGCGCGGCGGGGCTTGGAGGTGCTGGGGGCGTGCTCACCGAATTCGCTGGCGCAGTACGCCTCGCGCTCGTCCAGGTCCGCCCTGCAGGCGCGCGCGCACAGTTCGGGCTCGGGCTCCGGGTCGCTCCGTGGCGGGCTGAGTCGCGGCGGCGCGGGCGCGG